TTCCCTGTTCCTAGATAAAAACCTCCGGTAATCTTGGTCACTGTTAAGTGACTTGAATTCCTCCAGTGAGTAATTAAAATGTTCATTGTCATTGAACAGTCAGAACTTTGAACTTTCCTCCATTCTTTGGTCATCTCTAGACCGGGAGTCTTACAGTCAGAGAGGAGAGAGTCTTCAGCTTCTCTGCTTTGTGCTTCTACATCTCCTCCCTCCAACCTTCTGACACCTCCAGAGTTGAACCAGAGCAAGTGAGAGTAAGTAACACAGGAGTAAAGGTTCTCGCCTGACAGATACTCTCGTGAACTGGCATGGTGCTCTCGGAATCTAGCAGGAGTTGTCAGCTGAATTTTCCTCTAGTGCCTGCTCTGTGGGTTCTTTGGACCCATCTCTCCCGTGACTGGGGGCTTCACATCTTCCTTTGACATGGGTAATATACTGTCCTCCAACTCCGTGCTTACTCCTTCCACAGTCCCCAGGCATCTGACCATACCTCTAGCTCTGTCTCTGGTAAGTTCTGTCAGCCATCCAGGAAGCTTTCTCAGTAAAGATCTACAAGACGCCCTTCTACCTCTCTCTCAGTCTGTTTGGGCTGCCATAACAAAATACCACAGACTTGTTGGCTTGTAAACATTATGTCTCACAGTTCTGGAGGCTGGGAAGTCTAAGATCATGGCACTGACAGATTCCATGTGGTGGCTGGTGAGGGCCCTCTTGCTGTTTCACAGAGGATTTCTTCTGTGTGTGCTCACGTGGTAGAAGGACTAGGGAGCTCTGTGGGGTTTCTTTTACGAGATCACTAATCCCATTTATGGGGGCTCCACCTTCATGACCTAAGCGCCTCCCAAGGCCCTGCCTCCTAATATCATCACATTGGGCATTAGGATTTAAACATATAAATTCTGGGGGAAACAAACATTCAGAGCACAGTGATCTCCCTCTCTCATTCATTCATATTCTCTCTCTCTCTCTTTCTATCTCTGCCTGGATAGAGTCCATAGAAGCCAACTTTGTCTTGGGCCACCCAAAGCAACCACCTCTTCTTTTGCACTTTTATCAGCAACTAGCCAATCCCTGTCTTATCACTTAGATTTCTCAGGTAGGAGCCAGATACTCTGTGTGGGGCAGATACAAAGTTCTTCCAAGCAATTCTACTAAACCCTTTTTTTCCACCAGACTTGAGGCTTCCTCCTTAAGAGATTGGGACTTACAACACCACTAGCAGCTTTCTTCAAATTTCTCTATTTCCACTCTCCTATTTCTTGGCTTCTCCAACCTCTCATAGGCTACAATTGGGTGATCATCTCAGGGTTTTATATGATCTTTTTTGCAAGTTCTGTGTGCTGATCATAATTTGAAATGTAATACCAATTTTCTTCAAGCCTCAGCTGGAACTGAGACTTTAATATTTTTATAATACCTGGTTTTGATATGAGTTGTCACTTATTTAAAATCAGAACATAGCATATCCTCTAAGTAATTATAATTACATAACATAAAATAGTATTTTATAATTATATTATAAATATATGCATGTTTTGAATATAATCATCATATGAAAAATCTAAACGGATGGTAAAATGATTTTCAAGATACATAAGATAATTGATCAATTCAAAACAAATCTGTTTCTCACTTCTTCATGCATTCAAGTTCTTCCCTTGGAAAAAATACTTATTCAATGTCTGCTAGACAATAGAAGTCTAACAGTGGGCAAAGCAAGTTTGGCGCATTCCCTCACGGAATCTGCAGTCTAATCTATTATAAAAAGAACTTCTTCAGGGCTGGCCCCGTGGCCAAGTGGTTAAGTTCACGTGCTCCGCTTCGGTGGCCCAGGGTTTCACTGGTTCAGATCCTGGGCACGGACAGGGCACCACTCGTTAGGCCATGCTGAGGTGGCGCCCCACATAGCACAACCAGAGGCACTCATGACTAGAATATACAATTATGTACTGGGGGGCTTTGGGGAGAAGAAGAAAAAAAAAGAAAAAAGATTGGCAACAGAGGTTAGCTGAGGTGCCAATCAAAACAAAGAAAAACAGACTATCCTCTTATTGCACAACTGTTAGGATGTTTGGCAAGAATTGACATAGTCTTGGAGCATAGGCAGGAATGAAAACCAATAGAGAAGAGAGATAGCAATTGATGAACAAAATAGTGGGCCAGTGAGACCCCAAAATTGATCATAAATTGATGAAAAGTAACAGTAGGAACCGGTGATGTACAGTTAATGCTAAGAGGACTTAGGAACTCATAATAAGGCATGTGGTTAGCATGACTCTTGGGGGAATAGCTGTCTTTGGATGAGGAAGTGTTGTTCAGAGAAAGTTACTGTAAACATACTTGCAGCAAAAATATTTTTTGAAGAAAAAAATTATTATCTCAATAAGGAAAAAACTGTGGGTATTTGACAGAGCATAGTTGTGAATCTGTGCCCAACCACTGAATACTAGAAGTATAATTGCTGGTGGTTATATTTTTGTAGCTAGCTTTAAAATATATATTTTATTGATGTTCAAGTTTAAGAGAAGAATATGAGCTTTACTGTTACGCAACTCTTATTCTGAGAGAAATAATATTTTTATTTAATTATACATTTAAAGTTTTAGAGCGAGCTGCCTATTTGCAAAGAGGTCATGAGTCAGTTTTTAAAGATGTCTATAATGCTGATAAAAAAATAAGTAAGGTTGGGGCTGGCCCCGTGGCCGAGTGGTTAAGTTCACGCACTCCGCTGAAGGTAGCCCAGTGTTTCGTCGGTTCGAATCCTGGGCGCGGACATGGCACTGCTCATCAGACCACGCTGAGGCAGCGTCCTACATGCCACAACTAGAAGAACCCACAACGAAGAATACACAACTATGTACCAGGGGGCTTTGGGGAGAAAAAGGAAAAAATAAAAAAATCTTTAAAAAAAAAAAATAAGTAAGGTAAAGAAAGCCAAAGGAATATGAGGAGAGAAAATAACTCTGTAGGCTAGTTAGTACATAGAATGCATGCTGTGATGCTCTTAATGATTTCAATACACATTTGACTCTGAACTTTCTAAAAGCCAAAGAAAAGAGAGAAGCAGTCTAAGTTATGAGATTCATTGTGTCCATAAATAAAAAACTAAGCAGTTGCTCAGGAAAATCATAATTATTCTCAATATTAAGAAAGTAGAGCCATGGATCCTTTTCTAGGTGCCGCTTGTGTAACAGAGTGAACGTCCACAATGAAGTTATAGTAGACACAGTTTTATAGAGTTCTATTTTCTTTCTTCCTCCCTCCTCTCTCTTTCTTTTTAATAACATTCATGTGCCAGTTAGATCTATTTTCCACAGACCCCTTGCCCTTCCCCTGCTCCAGGGAGCTGAACCCTTCAAGATGAGTTTCTCAGGCTCTGCGCCAGCAGCCTTCCTGCTGAGTTTAGCCCATGGGACAACTAGGAGGATACTACAGGACAAGAAGAGGGAAGAAGCTGTGGTACTTCTTACTCTCTGTCTTCAGTGGTGTCTCTGGATGAGGCTACATCTTCCCACTTCCGCACTTGTGTACACAAAAAGTCCCAGCTTCCACCAAGTTACTCCAACTCCCTTTATCCCTCCAGCCTAAGTTTAGTATTAGTTTCATTTCATTGTTAATCTCTGGGCTGTCAGTGTCCCTGATTGGTTTCTCGGTTTTTCATCACTAACGGAATAATTTCCCTACTTTAAATGCCCTCTGCTTTAAATATTCAGGGAGTTTTCTCTTGTTGTGGTTGGATCCTGACTGATACAATCACTCATTATAAGACAATGGAATATCTTTCAGCTCAATTCAATATAAACAATTTTATGCTGGGAAAATCATGGAAAGTGCTATTATTACATATTATATGTCCAGGAATGCTTATGAAACAGTAAATAGCAGACACAGAAGGTTGTAGAAAACAAATTTCCATCAGTCATTCAGATCTGATCTTCAGGAAGAGAATTATAATTCACCAACATCAACATACGTGATATTTCAGCACACAATTTAAATGATGCATCTTCAGTGGGCATGCTCCACAGAAATGCACACATGCCGACTTCTTGGCTATAAGAAGTCAGTGTAACCGAGAAAGAATATCCTGGGGAAGTAGTATCCCTCTCTTAATCTACCTACAAACAACATATATGACTCACCTAACACTGTCCTTTCTTGGCAAATGTGGAAGAAATATGTGGAAGCTAATATCTAATCTTCCCTTTCCAGTTCCTCTCTTCACTAAATATGTAAGCTAGGGAACCCTTCACAACTCAAGATATATGTTAATAATACAACAAACAACAAAATTTTCAAGTTACTCACCAGTTATACATTGGTAGAACTTTTCCCAAGAACTCAGAATTAAGGCCTGATAAAGAATATTTTATTATCATTGAACTTCAAAATCAACACATTCTGACTAGAGAATATAGAGAATACACAAACATGAGAGATAAGCTTTCAGAACTGCCTACTGTGTAGAAACCAATGTGTTTCAATAAAATGTGCTCATTATGGAAGCTCAGGGATGCAGGAGAAAAAGTACACCAGTGTCTGTCTTAGCTCTTGACCATAAGAGACAGTTATCAAAATATATTACTATTTAACATGTTGACAATATATTGACAGTTAATAAAATATATTTTATTCTGATGTCATTAAAAATGTCAATCATATGGCTAACATCTTAGTTTTTCTTACACTTATATCCAGCAAACTTTGCATCCCAATTTGGCCTACGTGGGCTTCCTAAGAGGGAGAAAATGCACTGGCTGAGTCTTTTAGTCTCCATAGTAGTTATGATTATCAATTAATAAAACAGCATCATAAATTTGTATTGCAGTATAATAAATTTGAAAATGTGCACCCCCTCTGTGAAGGGTATGCTGGTAAGTTATGTTTCTCAGCTTGCAAGATTAACCTTAAACCATGGCAAAATTACCAGCTGGGTACTCCCTGTGAAACATCTTTCCCAGAAAATGCATCCCTCCAACATGTATTTCTTTTACACCTACCTGAAAGAGTTCTTAATGTCTTCTGCTTGGATTGTCTTGAGAATCTCTTGATATAACTGAAGATCAAGTGTTCCTGATGATGTAGCATTTGAAGGGCAATTTTTATGTGCATAATAGCCTATCAAAATTCCAAAAATAAATAAAATGATGGCTGTGCAAAGCATTTTTGAAAGACGGCAAAAGTTGCAGGGGTTGCTCTTTGGTGCAGATCTTGTGTAACGGGTAACATATTCAGACTCTTCTTGAAGTCGCTGGAATCTTCCTTTGGGTGAAGTTGCTGGTTGAATGGAATCAAGATTGAGGTCTGCAGTCTCTGAATTCTCCAGGTTCTGATTCTCAGCACGATCTAGCCGAAACTGGTCAAACCCAGGCTCCTCCAGCTCCTTTTCCATGTCCCACTCTAAGTCAAGGGCAGTGGCTTGAAGGTCATCATTGTCTAAGTATTGTGAATGTCCTGGAGCTCTTTGATCTGCATTGACCTTCTGATAGGCCATCTTTTTACCTGTAAAAATAAGAGAAGTAATATTTTCTTAAAATGAACAATAAAGACAGCTCCAAGGTGAAAACAGTAATCCATATCAAGTATCTATAAAATTTTAGTAATTATAATCAGGTGAAATACATTGTCCATGTAGAAAATCACATTAGCTAATTATTTAATCTTAGGTTTTGCTATTTGTGTTTACTATTGGAAAAGAAGAGAAAAAATAAAGGTGGAAGGTACTTGATGGAAAAGTTATGAGAAGACGTAAAATACACACACTATTACTTTGAAGCTCAGGAGAATAAAAAAGCCACACATGCACAATTGCATTGAGGATAATGTATTACAATGATGGCAAAATTTAAGCTTACACATTTTCAAAATCACTTTTAAGAAAAACTAAGGGCAGAAGCAATAAAGCTGTGATTTGTTAAGTCAAAGGGGAAAAAAACAGACGGGGGATGATTTAAGTTATAAGATTTAAGTTACCAGAAACGCAAAATTCAGGATAACAAACTCAGGAGAAGACATGAATTCAGGATAAGAATAGGCAGAACAGCTAGATGAAGGAGCAACTTGATAGAAATATAAGAAGCAAAATATGATAGATTACTTAGCCATGAGTTATCAAAAGGATGGGAAAAACTAAAGGCTACCACAGATGACCAAGATGTTCCATGGAATTAGTGACATGAATTGGCCTGGCTCGTTGAACTTTAAATAAAAGATGCGATGGCATCCATCCAAGGAGAGAAGCCTTTTGCCAGGCTAAGAGAGTTGGGTTTCATAACCTTGCTACAGGAGTGGCAGATGGAGGTTTTTCTCCCCTACACAGTTTTGGATGACAGTTTGTTGTATCCTGCAGAGTGGTATTAAGATAACTGGGCTAATTAACTACAAGTGATCTTCAGCCTGTATTCAGTAACCCACTGGTGTATTACAGTTGCGGATTAAGAGTATTTATACTTAAATTTTCTGTGTATTAGATTTGTCACCCCAGCTGGACTCTAAGGCCCCTCACTATGTTTTATGATTTTTCTATGTGTCCCACTGTAGTGGGTGAAGAACAGAGCACAACTGACAACTGATTAGCTAATTGCCTTAGGGCCAGTAGTTACCAAGGGAACTCTAATGAAAAAGATACAAACAAGGACTTCATGAAAGGGAGTGGCATTATGCACAGAATTAAGGGCATACACAGCTCCAATCCTGGCTGGTAGAGGTCCGTATAAATTAAACTGATCTGAATGTTTAAGAGAGTTCAAATATAGTTAAATATTAAACTTTACAAAATAAAAATTGGCAATTCTGACTAGATTTCTCATCTAGTCCCCTAAAATCTAGGATTCATTCTTACCTAGAGTTGACTCAATAAAGATGAGTATCTGGTGCATGTCAAGTACTGGGATAGGCAATGAAGACAAAGATAAATGGCTCCCATTCCTCAAGTAGGGAACAGTTCAATCAGAAAGACAAATGCATGAACAATCAAGTCAGTCAAATAAAATATGCAAAGTGCAAGGGTGATTCGGGGTGATTGAGTCTAACGGAAAATACGGGAAAAGCTTCCTCAGGAAAGCGATCTCTGGGGTACTTCTGGCAAGAGAGAAGGAGTTAACTAGGGCAGATCAGAGCTGTGAGAAGCGGGTATCCAGGCAGGAGAAAATTTACACCACGCAGAGGAATGAGAATGCATGGTGCGTGGACCACCTGAAAAACCCAGAGTGGTGTGCTGTGACTGAGGATGGAGCACATGGCCAGAGATTCAGAGAAAAAGCTAGGAAAGGGTGACCTTAGGTAAAAGGCTTAACTTCTCTGTAACCCAGGGTCTTCATCTTTGAAATGGGCATGATAATAAGATAATCCTCATAGCGTTGTCATTAGGATTAATTGAGACAGTGAACCTAAAACATCCATTAAGCGTTACATAGGCTACATGGGTTAGAAGGGACATTTCTGGTATTAGAGGAAGGAAGACTGTCAAGGACTGTTGGAAGAAAAAAGTGAGTTAAATAATGCAGAAGAAATTAGATAATTCTGCAAGACATTGTAGAGAAGGGGAGGAGGTGGCATAATCACACACGTAGACTCACACACCTATGATGTTGTTGGTTTGTTTGGGTTTTTTTTAATATTAGTCCATATGTAGAGACTAAAATATATTTTTTTAAAAATGCACATGACATACTAACTGTTATCAGCAGGTGTTTATTTGGCAGTATGCATTAGAACGGCCTCAGGAATGATTCTGCAAAACCCTTTCTTTTCCCTTCCCTCTTTCCTGCCCTCCCTCGCTTCTGCTTGGACTGGTTTCCAAAATGATCCAAGAAAGTACAGCATTTGAATTCTGGCTTTGATCACATCAAGACAAGAAGAGAAAGGGAGTAACACCTGGAGTTAAATGATAATTATTCAGATGGGTTAGAAGATGGTTGATTAACTGAAAGAAGACTGCAAATCACATCAGGTTAAAAAAAATAGAAGAGAGTACTAAAGGATAGGAAAACTTGAAGGGAGCAGAAATAAAGACTCTCTAAAATCCATTTCTAACCTCTCTTATATTACAGAAGAGGAACCTGAGGTCCAAAGCTGAATAATTCTTTGGACTGAGAAACGTGATGTTGATTACATACTTCTTAAGGTGATTTGTGGTTTTATAAAAATATGAGATTACTAAGTGGGTGATGAACTAAAGTTAAATACCCCACAGTCCAATTTGTTTTAACATATGTTATAAAATACTGCAATTTCTTAGCTCTAGTCAATATTTTTCTTGTTTGGCTTAAGCATCAATAAATTCTTGCAATCTTGACATGATATTATGATATTTACTTTTTTAACTGTTCAGTTCATGCATTATTGATTAATTTACTTAGACACTGTTACCATGTGGTTCTCTAGATTTTTTTTCTTCCATTTTAATGAATTAGAGTCTCTCTCTCTAAAGGCTTTTCCAAAAATTGAATTGTAGAGCATGGTTTATGCTCAAGGAAGACTTGGCACACAGGAGTTACTACATAAATGTGAGATCTCTGATTTTGACCTTTAATACAAACATTCAAAGTCGTTTCTCTACAAATCATTTAAAAACCAACTGCAGTGATGAGGCAGAGTTTTCATTCCTAGCCTGACAATAGGCATTCCATCATACGTACATCAGCAATTTAACGCTTTTCAAACATCAGACAGAGCTATCAATTATAATGTAATGCAGATACAGATATTAACTTCTCACCATGATGGATATCTGCCTGACACCCTTCCTACCACTTTTGGACTCATTACACATTTATAAATTTACATTAAATTCGATCTTCCAGGAGAGCAGTATCTGGGTCAAAGGTAGAGGAAGTCACTTGATGTGACAAATCTAAAATATTTCAGGAAAATTTCAGGGAAATAAGTATGTGATAATATATACAATGAAGCATTTGAACCACTTACTGGGTAAAATAAATTTTATACATGTTATGTATATAAATTTAAAAATCCATTTCTTAAAAATTACCTTGCTTTAAGGAAAACAGTGTATACAGTTTTTGGCAAAAATATAAAAATCTCTGCCCTGACAGTTTTGTTGCACTTAATCGATTTATCTATCCAAAATGAACTTCTCAAAAACAAAACTAAGTAACAAACTACTAAATAAATAAAACTGATAACATTCGATTTTGAGTCAGTACAAATTATTTCATTTGTCCCACAAAAAATATAGCTTTTTTAAAAACAGTTGTGCCCTGTGAAACAAGCAAATGACATATTACAGTTACCAGAACTTTCAAAGTCTCAAGGACAATGAAAATTTTACATTATAAAAAGAAATCTTCAGAAAAACCAGCAGGTCTTAGAAATGATCATATAATTATGCCACTGAAACTTCATATATTTTCTGTCACCACTGTACATGATTCATTTAATTTATACTGTCACATTAACTTATAGTTACTCTATATGAGTAATTAAAAAAACGCATATAGTAGATTTTAGAATCTACCACATGAATCTTTCTCAAAAAGAGACATACTTTGGTGTAGACCAGGTCATAGAACCTTGCTACATTTTTTCAAATAGAAATATCTGTAATGTCTCTGCATTCTAATTGTACCACTTAGTCTTCTTTATAAAATGTGATTTTTATGAAAAGTAGAATATATTCTCCATGTTTTCAACATATCTTATTCACTTAGGTAAGATCCCTTCCCACCCAGGCCCAAATCAAAGGCCAAATTGTTTTTAAAATTCAATATACTAAAACATTTATCTTTTATATACCTTCATACTTTTATAAGAAAAGAAAGCAGATACAAGTTGAACTAAAAGGTATTTTTTTCTTGACTATGACAGGCTTAGATCAATAAAAAGTGAATTTTTATTCTTAGCAAGCATATGATTAGTTTAAAAATAAATTGTTACTTCTAAATGCTTTCTTTCACACATTTTTACTGGCTGAAACTAAGTAATTTAAATAGAAATAAAAGATGAATACAGAAGTAGACTGAAATTTCAATGTGTAAAATAAAACCTCTGGCTGCTGCAGATCTAGCCTACCACAACGGCTGGCAAATATTTTAGAGATAAATTCATGTTAAACAAAAGTTTCACGTAATTAATTCACTAATGCCACTCAGAAATATGATCACAGCACTATTATTTTTTGCTCAGCAATCTCAACGAAGGAATTTATTACATGAATGCTCTGACCTTACCAATATCTAAATTAGTAGACTCTATAGTCAGACTCTGTTGTTAGTGCTGTGGAGTTGATTCTGACTCCTAGCAGCCCTGTGGACAGCAGAGCTGAACCCTGCCTGGTCTTTTTGCACCATCGTCTCACCTTCTGACGCTATATCAGACAATGCTCTGCTGCTATTCATAGGGTTTTCATGGCCAATTTCTGTGCAAGTGGGTGGCCAGGTCCTCCTTCCTAGTCTGTCTTAGTCTGGACGTTCTACTGAAACCTGTCCACCATGGGTGACCCTGCTGGTATTTGAAATACAGGTGGCATAGCTTTCAGCATG